GTGTGTGTGTGTGTGTGTGTGTGTGTGTGTACGTGTGTGTAGGTATATGTGTATGTGTATGTGTGTGTGTCTGTGCTGTGGTTGTGTGTGTCTGTGTGTGTGTGTGTGTGTGTGTGTGTGTGTGTGTGTGTGTGCGTGTTCGTGTGCGATTCATTCACTGCAAATGTATCTTTGTAACTCTATATATTTATATGGGATTACAAAGTTATTTATGCAGTTGGTGCATCTAGAAAACTGGACCGAAAGTAATAAATATTTTAGTTTTTCCTTGATTTATATACTAAACACTAATTGTATTCTAAATTTGAAGCTTCTATGTCAGTCAGTGAGTGACAAAGTTAAGAAACTTTGACTAGTTATACTTCTTAAACTACTGGTTCAAATTGAATGAAATTTGAAATATACCATGTTTATACAATGTATACTCGGTAACTGAAAATTCAGGTTTCTAGTTTTATCCTCTACGAAGTTATAGGGGGTCGAAAATGGCTTGAATTGCTTCGAGAAAAGTATAGTACGGCCGTGCCGCTTTTTTGCTCGACTTGGCGGGGGCAGGGGCACTGCCGTGCCCCCAGATAATACACAATAGAATGGCTGTCAAACTTATTTTGTAGTTTGTACCGAGTTTCGGCATCGCCGGGAGCACACATACAAGCAATTACGTCGTATTATCAGTTAATCACTACTACAAGCCCGATTCGCTGTGTTGACAGACGGATTTTAATACATATTTATTTGTAAATAGCGTGCAATTTGGCATTTTCTAAATAATTTGCATGCGAAATTTGGAAACGATTGTAACGTCAAAACACATCTCGTGTTGACATTTATACGTGTGAATAGACGTCTTGTGGCATTCGTGGCATTTTAGTGGCTACACGGGCTCCGCCCACACCCCCGTTCATAGACAGAGAAACCAATAGACTAATGATTAACATATTTAGATAAATTTTTAATTGTTTTAAGAATTGAACTGAACAAGATTCACCAATCAACAAGAATCAAAAATTAAGCTCACAAAACACTTTTTTCTCACTTAAACCAACTGGTAAACTCCTTAGTTCGCTACGAACTGTCAAAGTTGTTTAGCAAAGTGTAGTTTGCTAAACAAAAAAACCGACTCAGAGAAAGGGACAAACAATCACACCACTCTTGTCTCATTTCTATGCAAGACGTATGCATAAATCTATCTTAATCGTGTGCGAATGCGAAAGAAGGTGTCACTTTGTCTATAGGTTTCTCTGTCTACGCCCCCGTTCTATTATGTATATATTATTGTATTCTACGGTCGTGACCGTCGTAACTTTCTAAATATTAATGTCATTGTCATCGGTGTGAGTAATTTACGTCTGGTTAAACGAGTTAATTCCATTGCTGTGTATTTTTTCGAAACCTTTCTTTCTGGTGATTCCTATACTCGCCACTTACGACATTCACGATGCAAAATATGTTCACGAATTCCCTTATCCTTCCATCACATAGATATTCTTATTCCACCTGCAAAAACCTCTCCCACTTAACATTAAGATTCAGTGTGTCCAGTGAGAGGCCGATGGCGCGTGCTTAGTGAGTCATCGGTGACCATTGCAAATTTCGCCCTCGTAATCCCTGAGATATTACTAAAAAGTTGTCGCCCGGTCGGCGTAATGATGTCAAAATCGTTTTGTGGAACAGTCGGCACTGAACCATATACACTTTCTGTAGAATAAAAGATTTATCTCTTTTATATAGGATAGGGTGACAAACGAGCACACAGGCCACTTGATGGTAAGTGATTACTGTGGCCCATAGACATCTAGATCTATCCTCGTTTGCGAATCAAATTGTAATTTAGTAAATCAAACATAGTTTATGAGGGCCTACAATAAATAAATAGCAATATTATAATAATATAAAATAAATACGGAAAAACTTTATCAAGCTGATAAACTTTGAATGGATGGCATTGACTTTTGACATGACTTGAACATAGAAAATACTCTTACTATTAGAGTAGTTTAGTACAATTTCGTGATATGCTTTTGAAAAAAATCTCTTAAACGTTTTTTATAGAATAAGACTGACAAACGAGCACATATGCCACCTGATGACAAATGGATGCTGTATCACATAAATATTTACATCTATCTTCCATTAAGATTGAAAATGCAGAACCGTTGTTAGCCGTGAGGACTAAGATGAAATGCCTCTTTTCCAGTAAAAAGGATCTCTGGTGTAAAGAACACTCACTTTACTAAACACAGCAGCATTAAGCTACTATTTTATACTGGTATTCTGTGATTCCTTTTCCGGTCGAGCCGACCCATTCTTGCTACAACTATACTATTAATATAGCTGTAGCATAGTTCTACCACGTACGGTCTTATAGAATCCCTCCATCTCAAGGAAGTTAGTCAGCTATAGGGCACTAGTGTTCCATTACCCTATCCCAAATTTTTGAAATAACAGAATGGATACCCAAGCAATAGCGTGATACTATAGAGCTTAATTACAATTTCACCTAGTACGCAACAAAAATGTATGATTTTAAATGATTTTGTAACGAGATTATACAACAAATTCAGTAGGTAATAACTGAAGCTGTGTAAGCTCAGAGGCTAAGTGCTCGGTAAGCGAGCAGTTCGCTCTCCAATGGTGCCGCAATAATTTCGTTAAACTACATCAGATTCACGTAGCGCTCGATGGTGAAAGAAAATATCGGGAGCAAACCTGCATGTGTAAGGGATAAAATGTTTCGAGTACAAACATTTTTTTATAGTATAGGTAATCGTTACAAACGAGCACACTTTGCTAAACAACTTTGACAGTTCGTAGCGAACTAAGGAGTTTACCAGTTGGTTTAAGTGAGAAAAAAGTGTTTTGTGAGCTTAATTTTTTATTCTTGTTGATTGGTGAATCTTGTTCAGTTCAATTCTTAAAACAATTAAAAATTTATCTAAATATGTTAATCATTAGTCTATTGGTTTCTCTGTCTATGAACGGGGGTGTGGGCGGAGCCCGTGTAGCCACTAAAATGCCACGAATGCCACAAGACGTCAATTCACACGTATAAATGTCAACACGAGATGTTCTCTAGATATAGCATAATCTAGTTTTGACGTTACAATCGTTTCCAAATTTCGCATGCAAATTATTTAGAAAATGCCAAATTGCACGCTATTTACAAATAAATATGTATTAAAATCCGTCTGTCAACACAGCGAATCGGGCTTGTAGTAGTGATTAACTGATAATACGACGTAATTGCTTGTATGTGTGCTCCCGGCGATGCCGAAACTCGGTACAAACTACAAAATACAAAAGTTTGACAGCCATTCTATTGTGTATTATCTGGGGGCACGGCAGTGCCCCTGCCCCCGCCAAGTCGAGCAAAAAAAGCGGCACGGCCGTACTATACTTTTCTCGAAGCAATTCAGGCCATTTTCGACCCCCTATAACTTCGTAGAGGATAAAACTAGAAACCTGAATTTTCAGTTACCGAGTATACATTGTATAAACATGGTATATTTCAAATTTCATTCAATTTGAACCAGTAGTTTAAGAAGTATAACTAGTCAAAGTTTCTTAACTTTGTCATTCACTGACTGACATAGAAGCTTCAAATTTAGAATACAATTAGTGTTTAGTATATAAATCAAGGAAAAACTAAAATATTTATTACTTTCGGTCCAGTTTTCTAGATGCACCAACTGCATAAATAACTTTGTAATCCCATATAAATATATAGAGTTACAAAGATACATTTGCAGTGAATGAATCAGTGTGCTTGTATATGTATAACAGGTGTAGATAGGTAAGTTGTGGGTATTCAAGAAGTAGAAAGTACCGGAAAGGAAAAACGTAGGACTATCTTATCTACAAAAAGAAATGAGATGCCATCAAAAACATAACTTGTAAAAAAAAACCAAGTCTCGCAACTCAGTTCTTCAAATTCTGAAATTTTTTGATTGATTCGCAAGAAAACACACTGTTCTCACAAGTAATACATATTGTATAAAATTAGATTGCTTAGTACGATTGCCAAGTCAATCTATATATTTAAAACATATAAGATTTTAAACATTGATATGGTCACTATAAAATGTTGTTAGGTTAGCTAATTATGTAATAACTTAAAACAGAAGGACATAAATTAATCGACTTGGTATTACGTGGATCTCACAACTTTTTAAGGTAGAAGAACTGAGTTGCGAGACTTGTTTTTTTTTACAAGTTATGTTTTTGATAGCATAGTATTCTGTGGTCACGACGATGTTAGTGAGCAGCGTCAAAAGAGAGTGTTCAATAACTTTTTTCTTTTAAAAGGAACTTTGAAAAGGCATATCTGCAACAGTGTAGTTTTACAGAACAATAATAAACAACAAGATATCTTCAACTAATTAATGTTTAATTATGACCACTTTTCTTAATTATGACCACATGATTAAGTGCTCAAAATACTTGACAGAAGCACAGATTCGGTCACACACAATCCCATTTTTAATTTTGTCGGTAGTATTTTTTATATTTTTATTGTTTTAATGAATCCCACTATATTCGTATGCATACCTTCTTTTTATTATAGTGTATTGTTATGTTGTAATTAGTAATAGCCAAAAATGACACCAATATTGTCATCATCTGTCAATCTCACGATCTTTTCAATTTTACGAGATGCCAATTAAATTGTTGCACATCCAAAATTATGCCCGTAGGGTTAGTTAATTTATCGTGTATAATAATTTTGTATGCCATAAATGGCAAAATATGTAGCTCATTTTAAGTTTTTAACACTTTTATTTTTTTTCCTATGTTTTACAAAATAAACATCTTTACCTTATCGACCTTATCTTTATATTATCTTTTATCTTATGGGCGTAAAAAAGTAAAGTAATAAAAAAGTAAAAACATTAATCAAGTCATCCATTTTATTAATATAACCACATTGATAACATGTTAAATTTATTAAGCATTGAACAATTTTAATTATAATTATGATAAGTTATAGCGAGTATTTTTCCTCAATTCCTTGCACACTGGCCTTCCAAAACTTCGAGGTCATATGCGCATTTTACAATTTTTTGTGCTATAAAATGGGGGCCAGTTCCAAAAATTTCCATTGGCGCCTTGTACTCGTACGAGTTCGACACGATACGCACCGCTGTACGCAATGTTGAGCAAATGGAACACATATCCGTTGTCTTATTTTTTGCTGCTTTGAATCTGAAAATATTTTATAGTTGAATATTTTTTGCTGCTTTGAATCTAAAAACATTTTATAGTTAAATTGCTTCGTTATAAAAAGCCAAAAATCGGATGGTCCTTACACTATATAAAAAAATTACAGCCTATATAAGTCCCGCTGATGTACACAGTCCACCCCTCATTTTATAAGGCAGGGAAGTGTCCGCCACGCTGCCCCAACGCGTATTGGCAAACTTCACATGTCTTCGATATTTCGAAGACTTTTGAAGTTAAAGAACCCCTTTTATAGGGGAACTAAATAAAGTGCGATTTTTTTTATATAACCTTCAGTATATTATTAAAAATCACGTTATTCATTACCAGACACTTAACATCGTGGCAACCCCTTGCCAGACACCCTTAATGTTCATGACATTGTAATTTTACTTATAGTATAAAAGCTGATTTTTACATATAATAGGTACTTGCGCAATAAGTAAATGATGTTTCCTCATCAGCCAGACATTTTTGATAGTTCCAATCTCTTGCCAGACAAACATTTAGGGTAGCTGTAGGAGCGACCGCGAGGCAGTATGTATATGGGTAGGTGCGAGTAACGGAAACAGGAAATGGGCAGCAGCATTTTACTGATAACAACTCCAAATCATAAACAACTGCGGTTGCCAAACCGCCTTACTAGCGTGGCAACTATGGCAAAATCCTCTATATGAGATATTCTATAAGCGAGACATATCTATAGAGGATGGACTGATGGATGTGACCTTTTAATTTTGTATAACGTGTATTAAATGATGATGATGAAATGAAACTGCAAAAAATACCACAAACTTTATCTGGACCAATTTTAACAAAATCATCGTAAAATTGATTTCACCTTTCGCATTTCATACTGATTAGTGTGTTGCACAACTTAAAAATCAAGTCCTTGATCTTCCAGCAAATGACTTGCATGGTTAGCAAGCTTTAATATCATGCTATAAGGTTTTTATAATAATGTTACTTACACTGGACATGTCTGAAGACGCAGCATCAAGTCCCGTTTTCCCAGCAGCAGTAAGGCGTCTTGTATGCATGCAGCGGCAATTACTGACGGTAACTCATTGCAGAGTGTTTTATTTACCATTAAACCGCATAAGCAGAGAAAGACCGCCGCTATTTCAATTTCATCGGAATGAGCGTCATCTAACCACCAGGACATGTATGTAATATAATCTTGAGGCACTACAGGTTGAGATGGAAATTTCTGGAAAAATGTGTTGAAAATAATATATAAAATTTGTGCACGCTATTAAAACTATTTGATTCATGTGTCGCTATCACTACTCTACAGTCCATCACAAGTCTAATACAGAACTTGACCACCCCGAAAGTACTTGCATCCATCAAGGCATAACTACATGTTTCATCAGGTTGTGTCACACCTTCTATTGGCTAGGGGTTCTAGGTTGCCACTCCATGAACTTTATTCTCCACCAATTGTATCATGCAATCACATACAACTGGACAATTAAATACACAAAAGAAAGAAATCTTAAAATCGATCAGTAGTAGAAAAGGACACACGGCGGACATTTACAGATACATTTTTCACATAAATAAGAAAAATCATAACAATGCAAATCTATCTATTAAAATAAAAACTATAAAAAAATAATATTCTGTAATCATCATTGATTTTTTTATATAACCATTCACATGGTATTTAGAAAACATACTGATGAAGTTTTTTTTGAGGATATAATGTAATAATAACACGCAATAAATTTTTACTTTCTTGTACAATAGAAGCTTCCTAATTCGATGTATGGTGTAAAGGTGAGAATTGTTCTTTACTGCCATCGATATTAAACATAATATTTATATGACATTTATTAATTACTATAAGAGAGTTATTATTTAAATAATTATTGAATTTTTCCGTCAAGATATTCTCAGTAGTTGCCCGGAGTCAGGAAGTTGGCAGTGTCTCACCCCCGTGCCTCGGAAAGCACGTAAAGCCGTTGGTCCTGCGCCTGATCTCTCTCCGGTCGTGTTGGTTTACCGTCCCATCGGATTATGAGAGTGAGGGAATAGATAGTGCACCTGTGCTTTCTCATACACTTGTTCACTATAATCCTGTCCTGCGCCGATGGCTAGTCTCCGTTGAGGCAGGCCGCCGTGGCCGTGGCCACTTCGCCTAAGTATTTTATGTTTTACATAAATGAGATTGTTTCCCACCATAGCCATAAGCCATAAGATATCTCCGGATTTCATACAGTCGCCTCATATATCACTCACAGGTGGAAAATATATAGTCGCCTCTTACACCAACCACAGGTCGTAAGTAAAATTATTAAAGTAGAAGTTTAAATTAAAGTCTGGTAACTGTTAGTCAAGGAGGCAAGGGTAGTTACTGTGACATACCAATTTCTTTAAGATCGCCTCTTCGGCCCACAATAATTGTGTTTTAATAAAGGTTCCGTTTGCACATATAATAAGCATAGAAGCGGAGGCCACGTTTCCGTGAAGCTTTTGAGCGATCCAGAAGCAAGCGGCTGCAACCTGCTGCAACTGCTCCAGCCGAAATCTACAGACGCTCAAGACCGAGTCTAGATACCAGGATGCTGTCTGGATCACCGCTGGATTGCCATCAGATCCCTTTAAACAGAAAAAAAGGAAATTATTTATAAATTAGCGCCCGGCTTCGCACGGGTGATTTTTGAATCTCGACAACATTTATGCATGTATTAAACATATATACCTTCCTATTAAAAAATCGCATCAAAATCTGTTGCGTAGTTTAAAAGATCTAAGCATACGGACGGCGGGAAATGACTTTGATTTATACTATGTTGAGAAATCATATTGTAATAAGTCGAAACCTTTAACCACTTCACAGTACATATCGCATGTTTGGCACTGGTCCGCGTCACCGATTGGAATATCTTAGAAAAAAGGTCACAATTATTTTCTGTTTTTACGTAACCATCGACCTAATAGTAAATGGATGCGGTAACTCATCATCATCATCATTCGTTATCATTACAGCTCTTCACAATTCCACTGCTGAACATAGGCCTCCCACAAACCACGTTCCTGATCCACCTGCATTCATCGACTTTCTGCATGTCTTACCAGGTCGTCATTCAATATATTGGAGGGAAGACCCACACTTCGCCTGCTGGTATGAGGCTGCCACTCGAGAAACTTTCTTCCTTATCGGTTATCGGTTCTTCGAGCTACATGGGCGGCTGATTGCCACTTCAGCTTATTAATCCGTTGGGCTTCATTCCTACGCTTATCGCGCAGAGAAACCCTGAGCTAACTATCTCCATAGCTCGCTGAGAGACTATGAGCTTCCTCATACGGCCTGCAGTGAAAGACCATATCTAATATACATAGATCATTACTGGCAACACGCACTGGTTGCACAATTTAGTTTTGAGATTTTGAGGCATGCCTGATTATATGTGTTGTAATTTCCCGAACGCTGCCCAGCAGAGTTGAATCTGTCGATTGACCTCTTGGTCGAAGGTAGACTTACCTATTCGGACTATTTGTCCCAGGTTCCAGGTCCCAGTTCAAAGTTTTTAATGAGTATGTTTACTCATTAACAACTTCGATCTTAGTGCTCCCAACACCCACCAGCATAGGTGTGACATGGACATTCGACATGACTTTTGTTTTGTCCATGGTCATCTTAAGACTTATCCGTTAAGAGACACTATTGAGGTCATTGAGCATATTAATTAGGTCCTCCTGAGATTTTGCCATAATAACTATATCATCGGCACATCGAAGGTGAGTGATGTATATTCCATTGACGTTAATACCGTATTCCCTTCCAGTCCAATAGATTGAAAACGTCTTCCAATGCAGCGGTGAAGGGTTTTGAGAATATCGCGACAAAACTCGACAAAACTAGTTTTTACGTATTTTATCACATATCTTAACTTATTTTATATTCCTGACGTTTCGAGTACTTAACAGCACCTATGGTCATGGGGGGAATGAGCTGTTCGATTGTCTGAGCGTTTGTACGACACTCACAATACCTTTAGATAAACTAACTGCATTGTTAGACCATCTTAACTCCGTACATTCTAAAATTCATTTCACAATGGAGTTAGTGCCAAACAACTCTTTAGCTTTTCTAGATGTGTTTGTAATTCGAAATCCTGATGACACCTTAAACCACACTGTGTATAGAAAAAAGACACATACAGATAGATATTTAAATGGTGATTCTTCTCCACAGTTAGCTACCGTGGGTAAATCTTTGTTTCAGAGAGCACAAAGGATCTGTGAAAGTAAACACCTGGCCAACATGTCAAGCAAGTTTTGTATGACAAGATGCTTAGAGTCCCACACCTACGTCACAGTGGACGAGTGAAGCTGGCCACAGTCGAGCGTGTGCCTGCTGTACTGCCATATGTTAGAGGTATCATTGCAAAGATTGGCTACATCTTTAAGCGTGCTTCCATTAAAACATACTTCAAGCCGCTGAAGAATATTAGTCTGTTCTTACCATCAGTCAAGTGTAATGTCCCTATGCAAGTTGCAGGAGTGTGTTGATTGTGAATGTGATCTCTCTTACATAGGAAAAACAAAAAAATCAATAAAAACCCGCGTTAAAGAACACGTAGCTGATGTGAAGAATCGACGCTCCGGGAAGTCTGCAGTCTACGAAGACGTACAGGATCGCCCCCATCATTATATCAGATTTGATAGATCACAAATCCTCGTTAAAGAACACCGATCCCTACCGAAGATGATTTGCGTGGCTATTGAAATCATAAAACATCCTAACTTCAATAGAATAGAAGATGGCTGGGTGCTACCATCTGCTTGGGATCCTATAATAAGGTATTACACCCATTTTCAAAAAGTGGTTTAAATGAATCCTAAAATGAAAATGAACTGCTATAATTTTTATAGTGTCATAAAAATTACTTTTAATCTATTGTTTTAAATTTTCACGTGAAAACGCTAGCTGCCATGCTGTTGAACTCATGACATCACTGCCCTAGAAATTTGCCAATTTTGCAAAGGAATAAGATACTTTTGGATGTTTAATAATGAGTTATCATCTTTATCGTTGGTGTGTTGTGCCTGAATGCAAAAATACGAGCATAAGAATGTCGGATATGGATTCAAGTGCCAACTGATTTAAATATGAGAAATACTTAGTTAAAACTGACAAGAAGGTACCCGAATACATTATCTACTAAAACTAGACTATATTTCTATGACGATTATTAGATGGAAGTATGACTTATATTTAACTATTGTTTATACACAACGAAACATCATGAGGTTATAGGTATTCCAAGTCAAGACAGTAGTAGATATTATAACTGACAATTGCTAATGATTGTAATCATATATAAACATAACTATGCATTACCAAAATACACTTTGACCTGGTATTGTGTTAATACAAAAGTTGGTCACAGGTACGTACATTGATGTGAGTTTTAGCATTCCTCAACTCAGCAGAATAAAAATCAGGATTACATGCAAAACATGTTGCCACTATCAATGTATTTATTTACCTTGGTAGATTTATACTTTCTGATTCTACGAATCCGTCTTCCATGATGCTTTTTCAATAAAATTCGGAATAAAACTCAACAATCGTAATGATTACTTGAAAATTTTCGAAATAACACAGCACATTACCTAATTCTCTTAACGAGTGTAACGTCACGAGGGTTTTAATTGATGACGGACAGCATTATGCAGATTTGTGGCACAGATAAAAAATTATTCTTAAAATTTAAGTATAAAGTATAAAAGAAATCAATATTTCTCATTTACTTTTTGCAGTCTATTATAAATTCATAAATATAAATTCATAATATATGTTTTGATTTGTTTAACATGGTGTAAAATACCCTATTATTAAAATTAAATCCCAACCTAATCATACAACTACAAGATACAATAAGTTCATACTGTGTAGATCAGAACAAAACTAATAATTTTAACCTCCAGGTAACCGTGGTTAACGGTAAAATTGGGACGTCGAATACCTCAGCCAGCCTGTGACCATAGGTGCTATAAAATACTCAAAACGTCGTGAATATAAAATACGTTAAATTACGGCAAAATAATATAGCCTTTAAGGCATGATATGGCATTTCATTGAAATAAAAAATCCAGTGGAGGGTTCTATTAACTTCGGCTTATATTCATTTTATTACTTACACATTCATTTACATACATAACATTGAAATATGTACAAAATTAAAAAAAAAAACGATAAAGAACTAAAAACTTAAATTATCATACAGTCCTACTCCCCGTGGAATAGTGCCAAGAACGCTGTCTGCATTTTTTGCTGAATAGCTATATTAGCCTTTAAGCGAGAAGCCTTTAGGAAGCTTTATTTATCATTTTACTACTTGATCCGATGTTAGAAAAATACCTGTTGAAAATCTTTTGAATTTACGAATAAAACCTACACATAAATTAAATAAGTTAAGTATGAGTTCCTTACAATAACTGACCATGTAGTGAGGTGTAAGAATATCCACTACCCATATCGTATATGTACCCATATGGTATGGTCTAAGTAAAACTTCCTGAGCGGACAACGTCGCGGGCACAGATAGTTATAAATAAACTTGTAAGCTTAAAAAAAACTCAAGAATTTCTTGCCGGTTCTTATTGCTAAGGTCTTATTTTTGAGAACCAGTGTAGATTCTGCCGTTCATATGGACTATAAACAAGTGTAAAACGTCTTGACCATCACTTTGAAATAAAATATACGGACCGGAGACTGGGAGCAGTTTGATGGTGGTCTTGTATGGTGATCCCGAAATCCGCTTGACAAACTTGGTAATTGATGCAAATGATTATGTTACTACGATAGAACCCAATGCCCAGCTGTGGGCACTTTACCGGCTTATCAATACATACTTTTTATAAAATAGCTGCTTACCTCTACCTACCTAGTACCTAGCAAGGCGAGTACAATACACCCCTAATTAAGGAAATAATATACAGTATATTATTCCCTTAATATCAAAAATTCCAAATATATGTGTTCAATATTAATTTACTTGAAATATATTTATTTTATGTCAGTTTTTTTAGAGAATAATGGTGACAAATGCGCACGCAGTCCAACTGATGGTAAGTGGATCCTATGGGTCATAGATACCGACATCTATCCTCAAGTAAGAATCAAATTGTTTATGCGTTGCCATTTCTTAGGACTATGGTGTCGTTCCTAGCAAAATGGATCTTCAGTTTTTTATTCTCACCATACAAAACACAGCAGCATTAAGCTGCTATTATATGCTGGTGTTTTGTAAGAGCATAGTCCTTCCCCAACAAAACAAAAAATTACACACAAAAATTATTTTATTTTAAGAAATGTCAAATTAGTACTTACGTTAATTCTTAATAACCAATTAAGGAGACGTGCACGAGTGATGCTGGATATTCTCGGCACGGATACAGGTCTTTCAATACTTAGTAAATGAGCGAACAGATCATTGACATATTCACTCTCGATGCAGTTCGTGTATGACTCCTCAACTGCAAAGAGAAAGAAAATATTTTTAGGAAAATTGTCCGTAAGTCTCTGAGAAATAAGACTATAGAGTTTTAAGATTCTACGATACAACTTTTTAATACAGCTTTGGTCAAGGCGTGAAAAATTTAATTAAGTACCTACATTTCTAATACTATACTAATATGGTTTTTTTATAGGAGAGGAGCAAACGAGCATACGGCTCACTTGATGGTAAGTGATTACCACCGCCCGTGAACAGCTGCAACACCAGGGGTATTGCAGATGCGTTGCCGGCCTTTTAAAAAGAAATAGGCTATTTTCTTGAAGGTCCCTAAGTCAAAAAGTAAGTATCGGTTCGGAAAAATCTCTGGTGGTAGTTGATTCCACAAGGAAGTTGTGCGAGGAAGAAAACTTCTTTTAAATCGCTTAGTGGTGGACCGCCAGTCATCCAGATGGTATGGATAGTGTCGCGAGTTTTGTCGCAATGTGTGATGGTGAAACTGTGCGGCTGGAATTAATTCGAACAATTCCTCAGAGCACTCTACGTGGTAGATGCGATAAAATACCCAAAGAGATGCAACATCTCTTCGCAGTGCCAGTGAGTCAAGCTGTATGTTATACGTAATATTCTAAATATTTACGAATGTATTTTTACTCATAAAAAAACAGTACAATATTAAAGGAGCATCTAAATGCCCAATTAGGTAACAAGTCTTCCCTGACTATTGAGCATGTATTGCAGCGGAAAGGAAACGTACCTATAGTTCATTTTACCGTAAGTCATATATTTTCGATATGAATGTTTTTTCAGATATGTAGGCTTTTCTTCAATTCTGAGCACGTGATAAATTAGCATGTTAGTCTGCTAATATTCATATGGCACCGATTCAAACATCAATGTCCAGGTGGAATCAAAGGAGAAAGAATGAAATATTAAAGAATTATTTTTTTTATGAATAAGAATTCACGGATTGCGCAATTGATCGCTATTTGTTAGTTACAATCTAGGCTATTATTACATAAAAACTTTTATTATAATATGATGAACAATTTATAAAACTTTATTACTTATATGTAATATTTATATTCAAATACCACTACGACTATTTCGTATTTAAAGATTACAACATAATTACGATAATGTAAGATATAGAAATTTATGTTTAATTTCGCGTCATTCTGAGTATTTTTAAATGTCAACTTTATCACATTTTTCATACACTATTTGCAAAAATATTACTTTGATACAAGAAAACACAAATAAGACATTTATTTGGTATATAAATACTAGCAAAAATCAATAAAATTCATACTTACGGCATATTTTATAACACTTCACTCATTAAAGTTTAACTAACAAAGTAACAAAGTTTCAATATTTTTCGTCCAAGAGGTTGGTAATTTTGATCCAAATCTATGATTTATATATTTGTTTTTGGTTTTAATATGTAATAGTTAGACTCTGCGTTTAAAATACGGTCTAATTCAATTAAAAGAACTTCGTCGCTTTGCAACTACAGTTGCAAAGAGCAAAGTTAAGGATTCTGTTTTTGCAACTGTGGTTGCAAGAAGCAAACGAGCGGATAAGCCCTGTTTTATTTGTACTTCACATAAAAAATTGAGGTGGAATATTTTTCGGTACTCATACGCCGATTCCTCCCGGACTAATTTCGTCATATAAGCAATTTCAGCTTTGTAAAAACGGGAGTGCAACTGCCTGATTGAATTCGCCTTGCCCTCTCAGTTAACGACGCCCGTATATGAATAATATGACATGTAGGTACTTACGAATATCCGGCAACTGCAATCTATTATTTAAACGCTCGTTGAATGTTAAACGTCGTTTGCATTTTTCTTCCCCTTTTTTCTCTGGATGTACCACCGGTGAAAGAACCTTGTAACTCTCCACTGTGCGATGTTTTCAAATTTTTTTTTATATTCCTCACCCTATTCGGTTCAAGAGGTGATTTATGTAATGGAGTAGCCGCCCTAATAGCTTCACCGACACCATTTTTCTGTTTATTTTCATTAAAATAATTGTATTCTTTCTTGTTACTCTCAATGAAACTTTCTTCCTCGTCACTTATAGAAATTATACTACAGTCTTTATTGTTGGCTTCGTCTTTAATAGCTTTATAGTCCCAGTCCAAGTCTTCGTTTCTTTGTCCAAAAGTAACGTATTTTGAGTCAATTTCATATGTACTTCTAGTCTTATTTGATACTGCTTTATCGTGTTCTGTGCTAGATCCAGATGGCAAACCTGATAAGCTATTAATAGTTTTTAGTGGAATTCTGGTGTCTTCTCTTACTTCTTGAATTTTCTTGAGTAATAATTTTTTAGGTAAGGCTGATATATTTTCTTTGTCCATGTCTATATAACACTTGTTTTAACCGTTTTTATTGTATTTTGAGGACCGATCACGCCCTACAACTAAAATGTATTCCATAAGACTACTAACAACATAAGACCGTTAACTAAGGAATCATTTACCATCTACCCACACTAACAACTTATAAACTAATTTTTTTATTAATCTAGATTTTTTGAGTTTGGATACTTGTCCTTTAAGCCACGTCTTCATTTTATTCGGGATCTTCATCTTTATAGATTTTTTCTTCACAATATGCTGATGCATCACATTGCTCAGCTCAGTTCAGTCCAGCGAACAATCGATGGCGATAGTCACTCAAGTTCATAAGGCACCTAAGCGATCAAAATAACTGGAAATTTGTATCAATATCATGTTTTCTCTAATAGTTTACATTCGCAGTCACTTTGTGTTGACGATGCGTGAGCGCAGTGTGGGTTAGGAAAGATGGCCGCTTAGCTGAAAACAAAGAGATTCACCCCCGGCCATCATGCAATCATGCCTTGAACAAAAGGCGCACCTGCCGCCATACTGTACGTCGCTGCATAGATGAAGCCATGTAATTAGTCATCTGACCATAATCAAGTCAAGTTATTTCTGTGTTGCGTTCCAGTGTACTTGAAACTTGAAAGTGTACTTGTGTAGTCACCACAATAATCTTTGATTGTTGTATGTGTCCAAATTCATATCTTAATTCATAATTGTAAGTTATTTCGCGTATTTTAGACAAAATAATGTCGTCGCTTCGACTTCAAGCCAATTTCGTTCCATGCTTGCATAATGAAATTGCGTTTTTCATTAAAATCGATTCTGTGTATTTTATATATATAATAAAAATATTGTTAAAGGGTAAAAAGACACTATTGTGACAGTACGAAGTAATTTTAACAAGTTTCTTACAGTGTGAACTGTGAACAATCACACTAATAAGCTAGGACCTAAACTGCCTGAGTTTAATGATTAGGTATTGTTGAGTTAAATAACTGGCATAACTTGCACTAGTCAGGAAGAACAGAAATATATAATGTTGTCGACGACTCCGTGGCGCAGTGGCTTAGCAATGAGTGGCTGCGCTGGGGGTCGCGGGTTCGGATCCCGCATGGTACAAGTATTTGTACCTACAAATAATTGTTCCGGGTCTGGATGTTTGTTCTTGTGCAATTTATGTTTGTAAACTGCCCCCCACGATACTGGAGAAAATCCTAGTGTAGAGGTAACGTTTTTATCAAAAAAAAAACAATATAATATACATCTGCACCGCACGCCTGTGGGGTCACCGTACGCACGCAATATTTGTTAAGACACAATTTTATTTCCAAATCAAGCCATAAGTATTATTACAAACAAATATTTTTTATCATGGCACATCTTTGCCATGGTTACAACGCTTAGCAGGCGAATTATTGAACTCAGTATTTTATTTACGTTGTTATCAAGAAGGTTTAGGTTCCCTCCGTCGCCTCTTAAGATATTTCATCTTATAAATGAAACGAGGAAGCACATGATAAATTCGCTTACTCTTTCATTAATGACTTAATACCCGGTTAACCGAGCTTTGCTCGGTATTTTTCGCTCGGTTTTTTTTAATTCATGTGTTTTGGAAACTATATTTAGATACAAATTACATACTGATGAAAAACGAATAATATTTTTTGATCTTAGCGACATAATAGAAAAAACTGAACTGGTTATTTGAATAAAAAATCATGAGTGCAATTAGTTTAATTTAAATTTTCGTGTTTTTAAAAAATACTAAAAAAAGGGCTCGAAAAAAATAGATTTTCTCAAAAAAGAAAGGAACTTGAAAAAAAAAAATTAAAAAAAGTCGGTCGGTCGGTCTGGGCTCGAACCATGGTAATACGAGTTTGTGACCGCCCAATATACCAATTAATCTATTTGTAATCATTAATAAACTGTCAAAATTTACCTTCTTATTCTAACGATATTGTAGCAGTTTTTCATTGCCTAAAAACACGAACAAAAAGACATTTTCTAAAAATAAATCCTAGCTAGATCGATTTATTGTCCCCGATACACCCTGCACACAAAATTTTATGAAAATCGTTGGAGACGTTTCCGAGATTCCGATTATATATATATATATACAAGAATTCCTCGTTTAAAGGTATAGGATATAATATGAATATTATACATAATATACTTAAGGGTCATTCATTAATTACGTAATAATGATTTTACCTCCCAACCCCTTTATAAGAATACATAAGATTTCTCGATCCACCCCCCTCCCTCTTCATACATAAGATTCTATGATTTTTATTTACGACATTGCTATTTCTAGATGCTATTGTTACAAATACAAAGTCTTTATCTATATAATGTAATACCTTTAAACGAGCAAACTGCTCCAACGATTTTCTGAAATTTAGTGTGCTGGGGGTGTCGGGGGCAATAAATCGATCTAGCTAGGATTCATTTTTAGAAAATGTCGTTTTATCCGTGTTTTCAGGCAATAAAAAATCTGCTACAATATCATTAGCATACGAAGGTAAATTTATAGTAATAATAGCTCAAATGGAATAATGGGCGCTCCCAAAGTCGTAGTACCCTAGGTTTGAGTCAGGATTTCATCGCTATGGCTTTTTTTCCCTTTTGTTTTCAAGTTCCCTTTCCTTTTTATTTCAAGCCCTTTTTTGGTATTTTTTAAAAATCTAATAATTAAATTAAACTGATTGCTCTCATGATTTTTTATTTAATTCAGTTTTGGTAATTTTAGTTCGAAATAGTATCATCGATGTTTCTAAAAACAAGCCCACGCGGGCGAAGCTGCGGGTAAAAAGCTAGTAACAAATAAAATGAAGAAACGAAAAACTTAAAATAAATCTTAGAACTTTCAAATCATATAATGAATATAATTATTTAAACATATAAATGTAAATTAATTGTATAATATAATTAATAGTAACTGTAGAAGTTTTATTCTTTATTATTTATACAATTTGCATTACGGCATCTTGTAAGACTCACAAGAATTATAATTTTCAGTTACGTGAAGTTTTTTAGGTAGGATGCACCAATTCATTTCATCATCATTCATTTCTAAGTTTATCAAGCAGAGAAACCCCGAGCATAGCCCTCTCTGTAGCTCGCTGAGCGATCTTGAGCGTCCTCAAATAAATTAAAAATCAGTAGTACCTATTAATAAAATGCCGTGTAGTGGCGGTTAAGAATATCCACTACCCCATATCTTCCCGTGGGTGTCGTAAGAGGCGACAGAGGGAGACAGGCAGGAGATGGGCAGCAGCGTCTTCCTGATGACAACTGTGACGTAATAAAAAACTGCGGTTGCCAACCCGCTCGCCAAGCGTGGCAACTATGGCAAATACCCCCCAATGAATAAATACACAAACAGACGGCCCCCAGTCCCCGGCGGCCCCGCTATTCCTGGCTACGGTGGCGACCATGGTAACGGCGGGGCAGGGGGTGCTAAGAATCTCCGGTGGAGGTTCGGTTGCCACCTACGACGACTCGACCTGGCAACATATAACGCACGCACCCTGAGGACTGACGAGAAGATACTGGAGCTGGAAGAAGAGGTAGACAAGTTGCGCTGGCATATTATTGGATTATCCGAGGTCCGAAGAGAGGGGGAGGACACGGCAATCCTCGAGTCCGGCAACTTGTTCTATCACCGGGAGGGCGACCATCTGTCCCAAGGAGGTGTCGGATTTATCGTCCACAAATCTCTCGTCAACAACGTTGTAAAGATTGGGAGTGTGTCGACGAGGGTCGCGTACCTGATACTCAGAATCACCAAACGGTATTCGCTGAAGGTCATTCAGGTTTACGCACCAACCTCGGCACATCCCGATGAGGAGGTGGAGGAAATGTATGAGGATATTTCCAGAGCCATACATTCCTCCAAAACCTACTACACGGTGTTGATGGGAGACTTCAACGCAAAACTGGGCACAAGAGAAAGCGGTGAGCTGAAGGTAGGGAAATTTGGAGTAGGGCAACGGAACCGAAGGGGCCAGCAGCTGGCCGACTTTATGGAGAAAGAGGGACTCTTTATGATGAACTCTTTCTTCCAGAAGCGGCCCCACAGGAAGTGGACCTGGTCGAGCCCCGACGGTTCGACAAAAAATGAGATTGACTTCATTATGACGACCAGACGCCAACTGTTCAGTGATGTCTCAGTGATCGCAAGGGTGAAAACTGGCAGCGATCACCGAATGGTTAGAGGCACACTGAACCTAAACGTTAAGTTGGAGAGGTCTCGTCTAATGAAGTCAACGCTCCGTCCCCCTCGTGCTCTAATCCAGAATCCCGAAACCTTTCAGCTCGAGTTACGTAACCGCTTCCAGTGCCTAGAAGATTGCAATGCAGTGGACGATATGAACGACAAGCTCGTGGAAACTGTCCATGCGGTCGGAGCTAAGTTCTGCAAGACCCGCCGCAGAAGAACACAAAAACTCTCCGATCACACTCTTAATCTCATGGCTGTTAGACGGGAGATGAGGCTGCAATCGTCAACAGATTTGACAGCATACAGGCAACTGAACAGACAGATCTCCAAATGCATACGGCGAGACTTACGCAACTTTAATACTTCTCGTATTAAAGAAGCGATCGAGCGGAACCAGGGCTCCAAAGTCTTTGCCAGAGATCTGTCTGCCAGAAAGAGCCAACTGTCAAGGCTGAAGACTGAGTGTGGCAACATCGTTTCCGGGACACCTGAGATTTTGAGTGAGATTGAGAGGTTCTATGGGCAGCTGTACACATCATCGTTGGAGCCACACGCAAGTGTGAGTAACGATCCAAGAGCAAGTCTTATCCGACACTATTCCGATGATATCCCGGACGTCAGTCTAAGCGAGATTAGAATGGCTCTCCAGCACCTTAAAAACGGCAGGGCCCCAGGCGAGGATGGAATTACAGCGGAGCTTCTGAAAGCGGGTGGAACACCGGTACTTGAAGTCCTTCAGAAGCTCTTCAATTCCGTCCTCCATGGTGGCACTACTCCAGAGGCGTGGAGC